TCATCTTCCTCATCATCTACAAACTGTGGAGGTACTAACGGACGAAACTTTATCGGACGTGCATATTGATCGGGCTAACATTGTCAAACACCTTCGCGGCTTACAGGTACACACTTCACCTGGTGGGGATGGCGTTACACTGCTTCTGCTTCTGCGCCACTGCGCTGAACCACTTAGCTATCCTTTGGCTAAACTTTTCGCTAGTTCTCTGGAAGAAGGGTTGGTACCAGAGGATTGGAAATGCGGGATAATAGCCCCCATATTCAAAGGAGGTATCAGAACGTGTGCATCTAACTACAGACCTGTCACTCTTCGCCCAGTAATATCAAAATTAATTGAACGAATTATAGCAGAAGCCCTGAAATCGCACCTTGAAATTCACTCCTTGTTGAGCGATAAACAACACGGATTTCGACAGAATCGTTCTTGTTTATCCAATCTTCTGGTGACACTCGATGACTGGACACGAGCAGTGGATGCGGGAGTTACTGTACATGCCTGTTACTTGGATATATCCAAAGCCTTTGATCGAGTCGATCACAGTATCCTTCTTCGGAAACTTGAAATGTATGGCGTGACGGGAAATCTGTTGAGCTGGCTGAAAGACTATTTGAGTGACTGTTCGGTCCAAGTTCGTGTCGATGGAGCGTTTTTCGATAAAATTGCCGCCACAAGTGGTGTCCCTCAGGGTTCGGTTCTTGGTCCAATTTTGTTCCTGGTATACATGAATGACCTGCCGAAACTTCTGCAGTGCAAAACCGTACTTTTTGCTGATGACATAAAAATCTGGTCTGAAATTCATGGAAAGGCTGATTGTGATGCGCTACAGCAAGATCTGCAAAGAATCGACGAATGGTCCATCCAAAACCGGCTGCCGCTGAATTTCCAGAAATGCAAACTCATAAATCTGGGGAAGAGCTACCACCTCCCATACAAACTGGGTTCCAATGAACTGGAATGGGTGGCTGAGGAAAAAGACCTCGGCGTCTGGATTTCTAGCAACCTGAAGCCGAGTAAACACTGTCTATCAGTATATCGCAAGACCTCGGCACTGCTCGGGATGCTTAGGAGAATATTTTATCGTTTTACGCCTGAAATTCTCCCTATTATCATGAACACATATCTCCGGCCGACAGTGGAATACGCGATCCAAGCCTGGTCTCCATGGCTGCAAAAGGATACACAACTGCTAGAGTGTATCTACCACCGCGCGACCAAGCTGGTCATTGGCCTCCGAAACGTTCCCTACAGTGAAAGGCTACGTAAACTGGATTTGTTTGATTTAACTTATCGGCGTATACGAGGAGACCTCATCCTGATGTTCAAGATAATAAACACCCCTAATCACCCTTTAAAACATTTGTTCACAGTTAATTTGGCCCGACAGACCCGACGGAATCCATTGGCCGTTGACATTCCATGTTCCCGCATTAACTGTCGGCGCTACTTTTTTTCAGTCCGCGTATCCCTCACGTGGAACAAACTACCAACATCTGTTGTGGATTGTGGTAACCTCGAGACTTTCAAACATTCGCTTGACGAATACATAAGATCTTACCCAACTTCCCTCATCAACATTTGACATGCAGATTACAAAAAATAGAACATATATGTCATATTCCGTTTATCTGTATACATACACACACACCAATATCCTTTGGTCATTGTAAAGCAACATGCTTTTTAGACCAATATAACCTTGATTTACCTCGATGTACCTTGATCATCCTCACCATCCTCTTCATACTCAACCTCCGCATCATCCTCATCCTCCTCTTCATTATGCTTATTATCGTCATCATCCTCATCATCCTCATCCACTTCGTTATCCTGATCATCCACATGAATATCCTCACGACTTTTCTCTTCATCCTCATCAACGTCACCATCATCATCTTCCTCGTCATCTTAATCATCATCGTAATCATCATCATCATCATCATCATCATCATCATCTTCATCATCATCATCATCATCATCCTCGTCATCTTCATCCTCCTCATCATCCTCATCCTCATCATCCTCATATTCATCATCGTCATCTTCCCCATTCCCATCATCTTAATCATTCCCATCCTGCTCATCATCCTCATCATACTTAACGTGTTCATCATTCTCATCATCCTCATCATCCACATGAACATAGTTATGCTCATCATCCTTATCATCCTCAGGAACATCATCATCTTCATCCTAATCGTCATCCTCATCCTCATCATGCAGATGAACATCATCATCATCATCATCCTCATCATCTGCATCGCGATCACCATCATCTTCATCATCATCATCATCGTCACCATCATCATCATTATCCTCGTCGTCATCATCCTCGTCGTCATCCTCACCATCATTATCATTATCATTATCATCCTCATCATCCTCATCATCTTCATCATCCTCTTCGTCCTCATCATCCTGACAATCCCCATCATCCTCCTCTTCCTCATCATCCTCATCATCGTTATGGTCATCTGCATCATCATCATCATCATCATCACCATCATCACCATCATAGTCATCATCCTTCTCCTCATCATCATCATTATCCACATCATCCTCATGATGCTCGTCAACTTCATCATCCCCTTCAACGTCATCATCCTCGTCATCGACATCATCGTCTTCATCATCCACATCATCCTCAGCCTCATCGTCCTCTTCATCCTCATCATCCTCATCATTCTATTCACACTCAACATCCTCATCATCCTCATCCTCCTCATTATCGTCCCCATTATCCGCATTATCCTCATCATCCTCATCATCCTCATCATCTTCATCATCCTCATCATCCTCATCATCTTCATCATCCTCATCATCCTCATCATCTTCATCATCCTCATCATCCTCATCATCTTCATCATCCTCATCATCCTCATCATCTTCATCATCCTCATCATCCTCATCATCTTCATCATCCTCATCATCCTCATCATCTTCATCATCCTCATCATCCTCATCATCTTCATCATCCTCATGATCCTCATCATCCACACATCCATCATCACCATCATTATCATCATCGTCATCATCATCATCTTCATTATCATGATTATCCTCCTCCTCCTCCTCCTCCTCATCATCATCATCATCTTGATAATCGTCATCATCATCATCATCATTTTCAGCTTTGGAGACCTCGTTTTCGTGGTGCAGTAGTTCTAGCTGCCGCATTTTCGTTCACCAATGATTTTTGGAATTGGGGTTTTTAGCTGCGCATTGCGAGCGGAAGCTAATAAATTATGCATAAATCCAGCACTCTCATTGGACTGTGAAGTGTGGGGGTGGGTTGTTTGGTTAAGGAGCTATGCATTGAAGGCAATAGCTTGAATGCACGAGCGCCATTGGTGGCACGACTGGACCATGTCTGACAATGTCTCCTGCCATTGATGTGGCTTGTCTCGGGGTCCCCATCCAGGAAGAGGGCAGTGACCAGCGCAGCTGTTTGCTGGTAATGACTTTCATACTTCGCTGCCAAGTCATTGTTTGACCGCCTCTGGCTCTCTTTCACCTTTCACGTAGTCGTGCGAAAAGAGCCCTTTGAGGAATTCGATCGACTGGCATACGCAGCTCGTGACCAAGCCAGCGCAACCTATGCAGTGTGATCAGTTCATCTATCGTGAGTGAGTTATTTCTCCCGAATACCATTCGACGTATTTCAGAATTGCTGATCCGGTGTTCCCACCAAATTCGGGCAATTCTCCGAATACATCGACGGTCAAACACAGAAAGTCTTTTGACGCCCTCAGAGCGCAGCGGCCAGGTTTCTGATCCATATAGTAATATGGAGCGCACCGTAGCATTATAAACACGACTCTTGACAGAGAAGCTGATGTCACGCCTACGCCACAGGTGACGTAGGTTCGCAAAAGCTGCTCTGGCCTTCCCAATCCGGATGTAAGTATAATCTTTCACGAGACCGCCGGAACTGATACAGCTGCCCAGGTAAACGAATTTGTCTACTACCTCAATCGGTTTATCCGCAAGCTAGCGTTCGAGCCCACCCAGTCTTGCAGTAGCACTTTACACTTTTCACCCCTTTTTGGACTCACCAGGTGGCGTTCGATGACTTTCTACTACACTTACAGACGGTCCGCTTGGCTTCTAAGGATAACAGACTGCTTTCTGAGTTTCTAGATTTGTTTTGGACCCCAATGGACAGTCAGTGTGTTGGAGCCATTTTTAAATCAATGCCATTGTGCAAGTCGTACAAATTTTATGCGACCATCTTAATTTGACATACTGTTTGATTTTACCCTTGGAACTGTGACCTAGGTATCTTTACTTATATATCTTTATGTATTTCTTGTGGTCTCATTAAGATCATAAAATTATGTTTTCATCAGTTTCCACCATCAGTACACGATTGAATTGTCCTACTATGTTGGTCGTTTGCACCAAGATTTTTGCTCTTGATAGCGGTATGCAAACAGTTAAAGGCAATACTTGCTTTTCTGAACTCATTCCACCCAAGTCTTCACTCGGATTTGAAACAAACAGTTCTGTGACTTTTCTGGATGTTTTGGTCAGTAGACAGCCTGATGGAACAATGAATCACTCAATTCACAGTAAACATACACGGACAGAACCGTGCTTAAGCTTTCGCAACTTCTGTCCGACAGGACACGCACATAGTTGACTAGTGTGAACGTTATTTCACAGAGCCAGGAAAATCTGCTCACTGGATAAACAGGAGCTAGAACTACAGATCATCACGAGGACCGAGAATGAACAACTACCATAAGAAGTCCTTCTTTCAGTTCAGACAGAGCAAATTGCACAAAAGAGATATTTTCCTCCATTTGCCGTAGAAGGATATTAAAACCAGACATATCCAAGGGACTGTGAATGCCACACTCAGGTAGCACAACCAAGATGGTTGTGACAAGCAAGTAAGATGTAGTTGTTGCCAACCAAAACACCCACAGAAGTAGGCATCACATCCAATTGTATCTATCCTTCCACCCGCGGTTAGGGTGAATATGATATTTGAAGAAATGAAAGCAGACATGAAACGCCCGCACAAGTTTCATCATGTCACACGTGTTCGCAATCGAAAAGAATATTGGTATCTTAAGTTGGTGGCTACAAACATTTCATCACCAGTTTGGGTGAGTGGAAGCGTGTTCAGGTTGGAAGTTCCACTCCTAATCACACCTTCGTACTTTCAATCACAACGCACTCCCACTCCACCGCGGCTTATACTGAAACTTCTGCGACCAGATTGCCCTGCTCAAGGAACAAGCATATGGCCATGTCTTAAGTTTGATGGGCCAGACAGAACGAAACAAGGCCCCTGTAAGTGATAGCAATTCAGCTATTTCAACCATCGGACATTTATTTTACCATGGACAAGTGAATAATATCAAAAGTTCGTTCAAACTGGACACGACAATTACTAAACTACTGTTGTTGATGATTTCAAATGGCACAGTCTTAAACAGACAAAGGAAGAATACATGTTTTCAGAGGGACTTGAGATTTTAACGCTGGGATTACCCTGGTCTTTGTGAAGTAGGTGTAGTTTATGTAACGCTATCCATCAACTACCCCGTTTCTGAATTCTTATTTTCCAGCAGCATGTTCTAGGTCCGTCTGTATCAAATGTCACAATTTCGCCACTGATAGACTTGGGTGAAATAATAGTACCCCACTGAAATTCTCTCGATATCGTTGTTCATTTGCCCGTAAGGATCATGTTTTGGATTTGAATAACTTGATTGGTTATTAGCCAAACTACCGTGACATCTGGCACTGCATGATATAATCCTCTAATGAAGAATAGTATATCACGCAGTTTTCTTTTACACGGGTCTCGGTTAAATGAGACAGATGCACAGCATGGATTTACACTGTTACATCGCTTATTGAAGTTCTGGAGTTCATCGGATATATCGACGATTTCTGGATGAAACCTGACAGATATGGAGCTACATTTCCGACATATTTCCTTCCCCTGGCTCCGACGACTTGGTACTCTAAAAAAGTTAACTCTAACTGATCCGGGACTATCGCGAAATTATCGGTCGATTGAATCATGATTTTTGTATGTTTTGAGGATAGAAAAAACCTACTCCGCGGAATATCGTTCTGATTAGAAGCTAATGCTGATACACTTAGTTAAAACTGCACAATTCACTCGGAATCGCATGGTGACCGATTCTGTGGGTGGTTGGTTTACGTGAGCGTATGCAGAGTTAGAGAATTCTTCTGAGATCATGAGCACATATGCTGAACACAGTCGTCGTCCCAGTCTGATAACTAAAGCTGATTATATTCACATCATGACTTAAAATTCTTATATGGTGTGGGCAGCTGACAGTGAACTCTGACAAAATGAAAGTGCTCAACAACAACATTCCAATCTCGGCCGTTCATAGTGTATGCTTACTGCACGTGGGTCCATGTGCCTGCTTGTCCCCCGGAACAATCGAAGGTCAATAGAAGAATATTTACGACGTCTTGATAGTCTACTATTAGGCTGCACGCATGTGTGGTGGTTTGCGCAAAGGGTATGTTTTGTTATTGGTGTAACTAACTACAGTAACGGGTATGTGGTATGCACATTAATTTTTATTCGTCGCCAGGTTCATAACCAGGTGAAAAAAAAGAAAATTGTGTCGAAAACGTAGATAAATTCTCATAAATACTAGATCGGTAGGAAATCATTGTGAACATCTATCCACACCAATCCATTTACTGACTACACCGTGGGGAAAATTTCTTACCTATTTATCTAACTATCTATCTATCCATCTATCCATCTATTTATTTATTTATTTATTTATTTATTTATTTATTTATCTATCTATCTATCTATCTATCTATCTATCTATCTATCTATCTATCTATCTATCTATCTATCTATCTATCTATCTATCTATCTATCTATCTATCTATCTATCTATCTATCTATCTATCTATCTATCTATCTATCTATCTATCTATCTATCTATCTATCTATCTATCTATCTATCTATCTATCTATCTATCTATCTATCTATCTATCTATCTATCTATCTATCTATCTATCTATCTATCTATCTATCTATCTATCTATCTATCTATCTATCTATCTATCTATCTATCTATCTATCTATCTATCTATCTATCTATCTATCTATCTATCTATCTATCTATCTATCTATCTATCTATCTATCTATCTATCTATCTATCTATCTATCTATCTATCTATCTATCTATCTATCTATCTATCTATCTATCTATCTATCTATCTATCTATCTATCTATCTATCTATCTATCTATCTATCTATCTATCTATCTATCTATCTATCTATCTATCTATCTATCTATCTATCTATCTATCTATCTATCTATCTATCTATCTATCTATCTATCTATCTATCTATCTATCTATCTATCTATCTATCTATCTATCTATCTATCTATCTATCTATCTATCTATCTATCTATCTATCTATCTATCTATCTATCTATCTATCTATCTATCTATCTATCTATCTATCTATCTATCTATCTATCTATCTATCTATCTATCTATCTATCTATCTATCTATCTATCTATCTATCTATCTATCTATCTATCTATCTATCTATCTATCTATCTATCTATCTATCTATCTATCTATCTATCTATCTATCTATCATCTAACCTATCTATCTATCTATCTATCTATCTATCTATCTATCTATCTATCTATCTATCTATCTATCTATCTATCTATCTATCTATTATCTATCTATCTATCTATCTATCTATGGCCACTGCCTTGGCATTGAAAAATTTCGTGGACAAGCGATTCAGATGGGATCGCGGTTTGTATCCATTTTAAGAAAAAACCTGAATGCAAGTGCGTGCATCTCGCGGAGTGCTGTTGTTTCCTAAACGAAGGTGACTTAATGCATGCACCAATTTTCGTAATTTGCGGAACGGGCATGAAGGCCAGAAACTTGCGTGCACTATTTGTCACGCCAAATGTTTGTCGACTAATTGAATTATTTACCCAGTTGGCTGTATCTCGCTTTGAAGTACAACTGCATTGATCACCATGGACTATATATCCTCTCCACCAAAGATTCGCATTGCATAACAGCATGGATTTAACACATGCTTCTACCAAATTCACCAGGTTCGGTCACCTTCAAGCTGTAGTCTGCCATGCTTGTGAACTTCTAAAATACTCGATCGAACAGAGTAGCAGTTGATTTGCTACGCATTACTGACTGGGATGATGGGGAATGTGTGAAACGAGTCTTCACAGGGATGAAGCGAAACAACTTCAATGAAATGATATGCAAAGAGCAATCGTGACTGACGGTATGATAGTTGCTAGGCAAAGTTTTGCAGATTAGTAACCACGAAGGAAAATTTAGGGATTAAAATCCCATGAAAATCAGCAGCCGAGATTATCGTTGGTTGGAGTACCCAAAGTACACCGGCCAATATCCACAGAAAAAGCAGCCAATCCAGCCGATGCAGTTCCATAGACATAGCCCAATGCACTCTAGCTATTCACCCGTGAGAACCTCCGAAAAATTTGGACTAACAAGGGACGCGCAACAGATGAAGGGTACGGTCCTCAGTGGTAGGAATGATCAGAATAAATTTAGTGCGGAATTTCGCTATAGCCTTAAGGATGGAACATTCTTAGTGAAAAATCTCACTTGCCAAAAAAATGGTTTCGCAAGTGACTCACCTGGAACCCAGCTAAATCTCTAGTTTTTGATGTCTCCAGGCAGCTGAAAGTGCTGCACCAGGCCGCCTCATGTTTCAGTTACTATGATCTTCGAGATATCGTGATGGATCTACCTTTGTAATATACTACTCATAAGGCACCCTGGAAACGTCACGAAAGAGATTCAGCTGGGTTCCAGGTCACCCTCTCGAAAAACCAGATTTGTTTGCAGATGAGTGCATTTCGCTAATTTCGTGCAATTTGGTTTCCAGTAGAACATATGGTTGACGGAAACTCGGGGACCGCGCCTACCTGATGAGTCCCAAGAAGGGCGAAACAGGTCGTGGGCTGTCGAAGAAGCTTCATCAACCTTATGGGTAGTGCATTACGAATAGAACACTCCTCTGTAAATCACAAAACTTTCTGTTACGCAGCACTGCTATCTTGCAAATATGGTATTACTCCAACGAGGAAAAAATCTGCAAGTTTTACCAAATCTTCATCTAGAGAAGAATGGGGGCTTTTCGTGGTTCTCTTCAAAATGCTTCTTTGAAAGATCTTGTGTGCTATCTGCAGCTGTTTAATGAGAATTTCTTGAAATTTTTATCGACAGACGGCGGTCTATGCTATTCAACCATCAGAATATAGCACTTAAACATGCTTTTACCCCAGTAGGAAAATCCAAAACTCATCATCGAAGCTTGTCTCAAGGGCCGAAGGATTAAATCTTGTTTGGGAGAGCAAGCCTTAAATAAGGGCAAAAAATCGACCTAAACGATGGAGATGTTCTTCAAAACAGCGACAAAAGACAGCTACTGAGAACTAGAGGATACCAAGTGTTGATTTATCTGGCTTCTGTAGCATTACTACAAGGTAGAACTGTGTTCGTAAATGTGTATTTTTCAAATCGAGCCACGTCCATGAATGGTTTTTGGGCAACCGAAGAATGTAGGATTTTATATATATATATAATATATAT